GGGCAGGGCAGGGCCGGGCCCCGCCCGCAGGGCAAGCTCGGCTTAAAGGGGAAAGGCCGCGCTTAGGGAGAGAGGTGTGGGTTAGGTCGAAGGGGGTCCGTGAGCGAGCTCCGCGTCGGTCTGTGAAAGCCAAGCTTTTCATAGCCTTCTAGACTAAGTTAGTTCCAGTATTTTTAAGGTATTTCATTTAAAATTAAAAAGTTGAATAAAAATTTAAAAATTGATTAAAAATAGTTAAAAAATTAGAAATTATCCAAAATTAAAAGCTTGCAAGCAAAAAAAAAAAAAAACCCAAACAAAAAGGTACAACCTTTAAAGTATTCATCTATTTAAAAAATTTACAATTTCAGGATCCAAAATTTTAACAGAAATAATCGGGGGGGGGGGGGGGCCTAGTCACCTGGTGAAGCCTGATCATTTTAAAGCGTACACGCTAGGCCCTTCCTCAGATTATTTCACCAGCGCTTCAGAAAGACTTGGCTCAGAACATGTGAATTTGGGCAAGCACATTTCAAGTTTGAGTTTGGGAAAGGCTGCTGCAAGAGCCTAAAATACCACACTACAACAATAATTAAAAAAATAGAAGAAAGGCAACGTGTGCCTGCAGCGAGGAGGGGCAAGGGGGAAGAGAGCTTGAATTTTCACCCTCAGCACCTGTTTCTCTGGTCAACCAAAACCCCCAAAGCAGTCTTGTGAGGGGAGAAGCAAAGAGCCATCGGTACCGAGCAGAGGTGACGCTTACGTAGAGGTGATGTTACTTACAGAGGTGACGCTTAACACATCAGAGACCAAGATCCAGACGTGGCAACGAAGACTGGAACAAATGCAAACTCTTACATAGAGTATGGTGCAAGATCATCCATATTTAAGCACAGAACAACAAGAGCTTCACACCCAATGAGCCGAGACAAAACCAAAGCATCCTCCTGGTGAGGAACAGCTCCTAAGGAACAAATTTGGGAACAGTCTGCTCCAAAGCACAAAATGCATGGCAGGCAGTGTCCCCGTTGAAGGTTAACTCAGAAATGTAGAAAGGTTTGATAAACAATAAGAACATTTAGTCACCTGTAATCAGAAAAATGTACAGTTAGCATGCTTAGGACAAGGACATCCAAGTGCAGTTAAGCCTGGAAAGGACAGCTTAGCGAGATGTTTTGAAAAAAATCTGAAAACTTGGCAAATAAGATCAAGGTCCCCATATCCTTAACTGAGTCACCTTCATTATAATAGTAAAAATCACACCCCCAGGTTAAAAGACCCTGGCCCGGGTGAAGCCCCCACCGCACAGAGCGTGCCTAGCACAAAGAAAGGACAAAGCGCACGCGGGGCTCTCAAAGAACCAGAGGTTGGTTAAGGGCCATTGCAAAATAACTGGTAAGCGTTGCTCCCGGCGTATAAATGCTGCTGCGTGTTCGCTGAGGTGCGCTTGATTTGTGGGAAACCACCCAGGACCGCACAAACCCAAAATAAATGAGCAACGTCTCTCCTGAGTGTGTGACAACTGACTGACTGCACACCGGGACACAGATCCGCTTTTTGGAGAACGGGTTTTGGTGACCCAGGTGGGGTGGCGGTGAAGCCTTGCCTAGATTGACTTGCCGGCTGCCGGGGGGGAGCAGCTGCTCTGTGGATTCCAGGATGCACCGACGTGTTCGCTGGGGGATTCCCCCAGTGCCCTCCCCACCCGCACTCAAAGGTGCGACACGCGAATTAAGAGACATTGCAATATGTATATTGCATATATTACAGGTGGAACGTTGTATAAAAGGCATTTTATGGGCTTTGTGCACGCTTGGCAGTGGTGACCAGAGTGCACAGAAGCACAGGTAAGAACATTCTTTTTGGGTAACAATATGGGAGCGGGACAAGGGGTAGGGCAGTCTGCTGAACTTCTCCTCTCCATTAGGATGCACCCTGAAACACCGGAATAAGTTTGGCGGGGATCCCCTAACAAAGAGGAAATTAAGAGAGTACTGCAGTCAGTGGTGGCTGGTTAGTATAAATTGGATGATGCAGAAAGATGGCCAGAAATGGGAACTACGAATTACAATACTATTTTACAACTCATGTTATTTCACAGAAGGCAGGGTAAGTGGGATGAGGTTCCATACGTGGATTTGTTTTTCACCTTACAGAATGATTTTGAAACTAGAAAGAAATGTAAATTGTTGGCTTCCGATTCTAATGTTTTGGTGATGACGAACGAGAAAACAAAACTACCTTGTTGTGGCTCTGCTTGTAGTGTTGGGAAGAGATGCATAAAAATGAATGAGGAGGAAGACGATGTGCAGTTGTTGGTTTCTTCTGGTAAAGCACAGGATAATGGTTCCTGCAGGAGGGGTGATGAAGGATTTAGTCCTGCTGCAGGCAGAAGTCGTGCCCAGCAAAATCCAGTGCTACAAGCCCCATGGCATGAGGCAGTGGGAGTGGCTGGGATGCTGGTACATGTACAAGTGCTGTTTTCCACCTCAGATCTGATGAATTGGAAAGAATCTGCCAGGTCATATGGGGATAACCCAGAGAAAGTTTATCAGGCTCTCTGGATGATGGTTGAAAATCATAACTCGTATTGGAAAGATATGCAGGTATTGCTTAATACTTTATTTCTCCCTGCGAATGGTGTTAGAAAAATGCTCAGGAGGAAAATGCGAGGTTAAGCACCATGGATGGTCCAGATTGTTTTATGCCTGCACAAGAACCTGATTGGGATCCAAGTATGGGAGCAGGGTGACTGATGATTAAACAATATCAGCAGTTAACTTTATATGGAGTAAACTGGGGTACCTAAAAACCTTACAAAATTATCTCAGGTGGTGCAGGCCAAAAAGGAGGATCCCTCTACCTTCTATGAAACGTTGTGTGAGACTGCTCACAAATGGACAGATTTGGACCCAGAGGATGAGGCTATCAAAGTAACCTTCACAACACTATTTGCAGGGCAACCAGCACCAGGCATCAGAAAAAAGTTACAGAAGGTAGGTGGTATGTCCAGAATGACAATATCACAGCTAATTGAAATCACTTACAAAGCCTAGAATAATAGAGAGAAATTAGAAGAGAATGAAAAAAAAAGAAAGAGGAATTGAAAGATCAGAAACAAAAAGCTGCCATTTTGGCAGCGGCATTTACTCAAGCACAAATATCCTCTAGGGGATCCCAAGAGAATGGGGACATGGAGGAGGATGAGAAGAAAAAGAAATATTGGGAATAGAACCCCTTTGAGGTTTGATCAATGTGCAATTTGAAAAGAAAAGAGACATCGGAAGAACGAATGCCCAGAACGAAAACCAACTTGGTCACCACCCTCTGTTCCTATTCCTGAGGCAGATTTACTAATGATTGGTACAGAATATTCTGATTGACGGGGACCAGGGTCTGAAAAATTTAATTCCCCAGGTAAGCCCCTGATTCCAGTCAGGCTGGAGAACAAAATCAGTAATTTCTTAGTGGACACAGGAGCAACTTATTCAGTATTAAATAGTTGTAAAGGATCCATGAGTAAATTTTCTATGTCAGAAGATCATGCCATGGGAAAAACAAGAGGTGAAACCCTTTTTCCAGCCCATGACGTGCAAAACTGGAAATAGAATATTGACCCATGCGTTGTCCATTACCTCTGACGGGACAAGATTTAGTGAATAGATTGGAAGCACAAATAACTTTTGATAAAAATAAAATTCCAGTACATATTCCTCAAAATAGCACCTGGGAAGCACAAGTTTATATGCTACAGGAATCAACAGGAATAGAGGACATAAAGAACAAGGTCAAAATCTCCTCTGAAATTATGGATGCATTGGCTCCCTTTGGGGAACAACAGGAAAACCTGGAAGAGCCAAATAATCCAAACTGGTAAAAGTGGAATTAAAGCAGGGAGCAAAACTTGTAAGACAAAAACAATATCCTGTGAAACTAGAGCCTTGTATTAGATGAATAAATTTTTGAAACATGGACTGCTACAAGAATGCCAAGCTGAATATACTTCTATTTTGCCTGTTAAAAAGCCACACTCTCAGGAATATCGCCTAGTGCAAGATTTAAGTGCTATTAATCAAAGAGTGATTGATGTTAATGTTTATTTTACAGTTTTAAAGGATGCTTTCTTCTGTATTGCTCTGGAGGAAGAGTCAAAAGTTGTTTGCCTTTGAATGGGAAAGTCCTACAACAGGACACAAAACACAAGTATGCTGGACAGTGCTTCCCCAAGGCCTTAAGAACAGTCCCACCATTTTTGGTGATGTATTAGCAAAAGAACTGGAACTATGGCAAGGTAAGAATTTATCGGTTACCTTGCCACAATACATGGATGACATTTTATTAGGGGCAAATACAATCAGGAAGTGTAAGGGTTGGTTACCTTGCCACAATACATGGATGACTTATTAGGGGCAAATACAATCAGGAAGTGTAAGGAAACAACTATTTTTGGGACTGGCCAGGTATCAGGCATCTCAGAAAAAAGCACAGATTGTGCAGAAGAATGTGATATATTTGGGTTTTGAAATTTCTCAAGGAGAAAGTTAGGGGTTGAGAGAAGGGAGGCAATATATCAGACTCCCCACCCCCCCCGCCAAAAAAAAAAGTGCAGAGCATTTCTTGGAATGGCCAAATGGTGTCACCTTTGGATACCTAATCTTTGACTGGTGGCTAAACCCTTGTATGAGGCTATTAAACAGCCAGGAGAAGTATTGGAATGGACTCCAGACTGTTGAAAAGGGGTTGATGATATAAAATTTGCTCTTATCGAGTGCTTCAGCATTAGGCCTCCCTAATTTGACAAAACCTTTTGAACTTTACATGCATGAATGAGGACATCAAGCATTGGGAATACCTGTGCAAAGTCTAGGGGACCGGAAAAGACCAGTGGCTTACTTTTCAAAACAGTTGGATAAAGTGGGCTTGGGATGGCTGGGATGTCTAAGAGCAGTAGCAGCAACTGTGTTAATAGAAGAGGCACAAAAATTAACAACGGGACAGAGTTACTGTTCACATGCCGCACGCAGTCATAGCTGTCCTGGAACAAAAGGGGCACCACTGGTTGACTCCGAGCAGGAGGGTACAATATCAAGCAGTATCACTTGAGCAAGACGACACAATAATGAAAGCAGCCGGTACCTTAAATCCAGCATCTTTGCTACCCCTGCAGCAAAAGGAGGAATTGATACATGGCTATTGAGCAGGTGTATTCTAGCTGCCCAGATTTAAAAGCTACTTCTTTGCAACATCCCGACTGGGAGCTATTTACCAACAGGAGCAGCTTCGTGGTTAAAGGGGAGCGAAAGGCTGTAACCTTGGAAAAGGAAATAGAAGTAAAGCCACTACCAGTGAATACATCAGCTCAAAAGGCTGAATTAATTGGCTTGACCTGAGCTTTGGAATTGTCCCCTGGAAAGCAAGCTAATGCAAATCAGTATACAAAGTATGCCTTTGGAGCGATACATGCTCATGGTACAATTTGGAAGGAACAAGGGCTGTTATCCTCACAAGGGAATCCCATAAAATATGTCGAGGAAATTATGGAACTGCTGAGGGCAGTTAATATGCTTAAGGAAGCAGCAGTTATTCATTGTAAAGCACCCCAAATCTGCAAAAACCGATGTGGTCAAGGAAAACAGAAAAGCTGATGAGGCTGCAAAAAAGGTGGCTTTATCTGCCAACACAGCAGCACTGCTCCCAGAGAAGACTTTGGAAAATGAAGTTCCTGTATATACCGAAAAAGACTTGTTGAAATGCAAGATGACTATTGAAGGACAGCAGGTGACACCGCCCATAATGAGGGAATTAATGGAAGGGACACATAAAAGTACACATCTGTTGTAAGCTTTGCTTACAACAATAAAACGATATGCTGTAGCAATTAATGTTATTAATGGCCAAAAGCATTGTGCAGAAATGTGGAATTTGTTCAATGAACAACCCTAAAATTCAAAAAAGACCCCTTCCCCGAAGAGGCATTACACATCCTTAACTGAATCACCCTCATTATAATACTAAAAATCACACCCCCTTTGTTCAAGGAACAACCCTAAAATTCAAAAAAGACCCCTTCCCCGAAGGGGCATTACACATCCTTAACTGAATCACCCTTATTATAATACTAAAAATCACACCCCCAGGCCAAAAGACCCTGGCCCAGGTGAAGCCCCTTCCTCACGAGCATGCCTAGTACAAAGAAAAGACACTGTTGCTTTAAGTGCACCTGAGGCTTGCAGGAACCAAGAACAAGAGGTTGGTTAAGGGCAATTGCAAAATAACTGGTAAGCATTGCTCCCAGCATATAAAATGCTGCTGCATGTTAGCCAAGGTGCACTTGATTTGTGGGAAACCACCCAGCACCCAAGACTGTGCAAACCTGCAATAAATGAGCAACATCTCTCCTGAGCACGTGACAACTGACTGCACGCTGGGCCACGATCCGCTTTTTGGACAACATTTCTAGAAAAGTCAAACATTTTATTGTCATTTATGAGTACACTGTTTGTGATTTTAGAAATACAGACTCTTCGCAAAGCACTGAAACACAGATGCCTTCCAACTTCTAAACCCTACGTTATTCTAAGTCTTACAAACCTTTTATATTAGCAATTCAAGTTTGGTCTTTGCTGCAACAAGTTCTTCACCGAAGATGCAAAGATTTAGTTCTAGACTGCGAGACAACAGAACCAAGTTTCAAACGCCGCCCGCCAGTGAGCCATCAAGCATCGCTTTCAAATACTCCGTCTATGATCTTCTTGTACTTTGTGCCCATAATGGAGTTCACCTTTGAAAATTTTAAGTCAGAGGATTTTCCAGTTAACTGTCAACTGGTATTTCCATTACAGCATCTAGAAGCAAACAGATACTCTGCAAGGACTAGTGCTTATGAAGAGGTTATGTTTACACAAAACCCAGAGAGGCCTCCAGAAACATTCAAGGTTAAAACAAACAGTTAACAGTTGCAAAAAAACCTGTACATATTTTCAGTCATAACACAAGGAAACACTGGAGTATCAGTGTTTTGTGTTCTATCTTCAGTAGCGGCAACTGTGCTAGTCTTAGTATTCTACATGTTCCTCCCTTCCCCCCCCCCCTTCAAATTTTATAATCACAATCTTAATATACAGCTGTACTTACAGGAAATATTCAACAATGCACAGCGCCTTAAGCAAGTTCCATGTCTGGTTTTGAACAAACCATATAAAATAAGTGACAAAACAGTTTAAAATTGGTCCTTGGTTAGGATTACTTATTTTTATACAGCTTGGAAGCACTAAATTTAAAGACACACATTTATTATTAACCAGCACAAATTATTCTTTAGCTTTTTTTTTCCTCTTTTTTTTTTTAAAGAGTGTGTTAACAGTATCATGCATGAAAAGCAAGCTGCTGCTCCCAAGTGCAAACACAGAGTTTAGACTGAATGCTTTCTTCTCAGGTTGTTACTCCTTCTTTCATAAATTATTTCAACATAACCAAGAATAGAAGCAGCTGACTAGCAAAACAATATGAAGTTCACCTTTTACATTGTGACCCATTCTTAAAGTAATGGAATACTTTGGACCTTTAGCATAAGGACATTTATTATTAACCAGCACAAATTATTCTTTAGCTTTTTTTTTTCCTCTTTTTTTTTTTTTAAAGAGTGTGTTAACAGTATCATGCATGAAAAGCAAGCTGCTGCTCCCAAGTGCAAACACAGAGTTTAGACTGAATGCTTTCTTCTCAGGTTGTTACTCCTTCTTTCATAAATTATTTCAACATAACCAAGAATAGAAGCAGCTGACTAGCAAAACAATATGAAGTTCACCTTTTACATTGTGACCCATTCTTAAAGTAATGGAATACTTTGGACCTTTAGCATAAGGAAGGTTCAATAGACATGGCAAAGGATTTTTACATTCTTTGATTTCATTTACATCTTTAAAAAGAAAATTCTACATTTTAGCTGGCTAACTAATGAATCATCATCTGGAGACTGTAGTATTGAAACAGTGCAAGACATTTGCAACTTCAGGGACATCCAATTACACTGTCCTTTCACCCAAACAATGATTAGTAGAATATTGCATCAGTCCTAGATATACAAGACAGGACAAAAAGCTCGTTTTAGAAGAGCATTAGGATTCAAAAATCTTTTATATTTAGTGAAAAGAATCCACACACAAGTATGCACGAAGGACTCCTTAACGTGGACTTCATCACAACAAGTATAATCCAGCTGTAAGTCTTAGAACTAGACTTTTTATTGGTACGAAGCCATATTTGTTCAGAGACCACAATTAGAAGCTCCATTATTGACGCTTCAGCATCTGGGTTTTTTGACACATGAACAGCATCAGAGCTCTCTCCTGTCAAACCAGAGACCAAAAATTCAGCTGAAACAGCCCAGGTGGGCTATGAGTTTAAGCAGTCCACTTATGCCCTAAAACATTCCAGACACAAAAAAGCTGGCTTTCATCTTTGCACTACCTCAGTAAGAGTAGAGGCCCCTCACTAATGCAATATTCCAAAGACCATTGCAACTAAGACTGTTGAGTCAGGTCTCAGTTGAAAGCTACCACCACCACAGGACAATTGCAGGTCAGTAGAGACTCCAAGTGTGGCTTGAGGAATCCTCAGTACCAAGCCGCTTTCCACACACACAAATTCAGTCCATCTTCTCTTTCTGGACCAGCTTGGGTGCATCTACAAAATCCTTGCCATTGTAAAGGATGATAGCAAAAGTTCCAAAGCTTGCGCTTCCCCAGAAAAGCACATAGGCCAGTGTCTCAGTCCATGTATCACCTGTTAAGAGTCAGATAAAACATTTTAGTTCATTATTTCCAATTACAAGAGAGGTTTTTTTAGTAAAAAACCAAAATATTTCAAGTCCTCCCTCAGAGATCTGCTGTCAAATTAAGTTAGAGGTCCTTCATGGGTACTGAGGTATTTTCTATTTCCTTACCTAGGAAAACTGTTTGTCACACAGTTCTTAGAACATTTTGAACAGACAGCTACAGGAGTCAAGCACTCTGTTGGCACTAATGTTAGAAAATCCAAGGCAAAAGCAGAAGGCAAAAACCTTAGGGTCAGGAGCACCAGGCTTATGAGGAGCAGCTGAGGGAACTGGGGTTGTTTAGCCTGGAGAAGGAGGAGGCTGAGGGGAGACCTTATGCTCTACAACTGCCTGACAAGAGGTTGTAGTGAGGTGGGCATTGGTCTCTTCTCCCAAGTAACAAGCAACAGGATCAGAGGAAATGGCCTCAGGTTACATCAGAGGAGGTTTTTTTCAGTAAAGAAATTTTTCCTAATAACTGATAGTGACCAAGAACAGGCTGCCCAGAGAGGTGGTGGAGTCACCATCCCTGGAGGTGTTCAAAAAACATAGACATGGCACTTCAGGATATGGTTTAGTAGGCATGGTGGCGTTGGTTTGATGGTTGGACTTGATACTCTTGGAGGTCTTTTCCAACCTTAATGATTCTGTGATTCACAACTCCCAACACAGATTTAGATTAGGGGGACATATATCAGAACAGGTTTATGCCTATATCTGACTTTTCCAAATTGTCTTTCTGCCCAAAATTATGTAGGTCTTTTTCTGGGGATTCATCCAGCCTATAAAGCAGCTAGATGTCTACTCAGGTGCAACTAAATTTGGGGGCAAATAACTGCCCCTTCAGCAACTTCTATGAAAAGTTTTAACATTGCTTTCTATAGTACCTCAGGTTTTTCCATGTTAATGATATAGTGCTAATCCTCAATCTCCAGAACCATGCTCAAACACCTTTTAGTATGACTGAGAAGAAGTTCTATACTGAATAGTTTCTGGCAACCATTTACAGGAAGTCCACACACAAACAAGCTAATTTTGTGACATTAAACTCGATAGTGACTTACCAGCCATTAGCAAACAAATAATGCACATGGAGAAAGCAACCACCATAATAATAGGCAACTGGGGAAAGAGAAAAAGAATAATCACTTGATATATATACACGTATATCCTTAATTTCCTTTTAGATGGGCTGTACTGCAAAGCTATTTACTTGCTTTGCAATAAAGCTGCTTTATTTGCTGCCGATTCACCTGCTGTCAGGTACAACTAAGATTTTGGATAGTTCCAAAATTTGGAAGACTGTTCAATAGCCAGGTTAAAAATTAAAATACACTTTCTATCTATTAAGAGAAAGGTTAGGGCTTGTGTTTTGTTAAAAAAAAGTACACCAGCCACTAATTAAACCCATAATGTCCCCAAATCCCATTTCACAAAATAGAAGGGGGAAGAAAAAAAAAAAGGGGGGGGTTTGTGTTACAGTCTATGCTTCTGCATGAAGTATGAGAAGACATCTTCACAAGTTTCTTCTGCAGAAGGAAACTGTCATTGGTGGTGACTAGTAGAATTTCTCCCTTTCCACTTGATGGAGCAGATTTAAAAAAAAACAAAGAGCAAGCAGCAGGTTTTTTTTCAATACCTCATGGACACTCCTTTTTCTGTCAAGGGAACAGTCTGGGTTTAGTCCTATAAGCAGGTATCATAGAAACATAACCAGATTATAGGGATGCTTCATTACTAAATAGACAAGTTCTACTCAGTCATATGAAGCAAGTGACTAAAAGGTTTTGTGTTTCTCCCATCTTTATTCATTAAAGTCTCCATACTCACAGCTAAGAACTTCCAATCTTTCTTAACATGTAGAGGACTAGCAGGTTCTACTTCATCCACTGAATAATTTCCAAGAAAAAGATCAATCGCATCCTGGACAAGAAACAGAACGAGTTAAAATGCACAGCAATGTTTATCAAATACATTTCCCCATGGTTAAAAGCCTAACTTACTTGTCTAAATCCATCAGAAAAGTTATTTTTGTAGTAACGTATTAATGAGTTCCAGCCATCCATTATTAAGCCCCACTGAGTTCTCTTCCCAGTTCTGTAAAAAGAAGTTTTGAAAAATACTTAAAATAGATTTATAGATTCTGGAAGATAATTTCAGGTTTACAGTTCTTTCATTGTTCAAATGCATACTATGTTTAATGAATAGCTGCATGTAAATACATTTATCTAGTGCTGCCTCTGCATTATGACCACACATACTTGTAACATTCTGAAAGTAAAATTACACTTATCTCCATCCCACAATATAAACATGCCTCGAAGAGGTACGTTTTCTTGGTTTTACTGCCAGATAGCCTTTTCTCCTTTCATATAAGCACAGTGAAGAATGGTATTCTTCTGTAGATTTTAGTCTGACATTTTACTAGTTGAACCATTACAGAACTTGTTAATGGTCTAAGCCCCAAATTAATAACCTCCTCAGCTACGAAGACTTAAAGAAAATCCCAAACATGCCCAAGAACCCAGAAGGCCTTTAACACAAAAAATGCTGACTTGCCTTGTGTAATCTGTCTTTAAGGCACCAGTTCCAGCATACTGTTTGGCACAAGCATTAGCATTATCAGCCCACGCTGTGAATAGGAAAACATTACGAAAGATTAAGGAAGTTATGTAGTCTGTTTGGAAAAGTGATTGTTTGAACTCCATAAACAGCCTACCATTTTTGTAGATTTTCTCAAAGTCTGCTTGCTCTTCGATTCTCTGTCCAACATGCAGAACACCTAGCCTCTAAAACAAAAAGCACATTGAGGCTCACTAGTAATTTGTAGAAAAATTAGTATTTGCTTTCAGAAAAAGCTGTATTTATTAAACTAGAGTCTGGCCAATGCATTTCAAGTTAAGTGGTACAATAACTCAATTATGCAAGCTCTTATTGAAGTGTTAAAATTACATTTCCATTCCAAACAGAAAGCCCCTCTCCTCTTCCAGCTTGTTAAACAAGAATATTTACCTGAAGCTGGGCTTGAAGAGATCGGCGTGCTAACAAGCTCTGAATCACATTAGTCCGATCAAGGCAGTCCATGCAGTTACTGCGGAATATTCCTTCTTGCTGAGTCACAATTTTACCATCGGAATCAACTAGAAAATAACTAACACATACAATCCACCTAAGTATTTATAGATAACATAAGCCACATGTTTTCAGAAGTAAACATTATAGCAAGCAAAACACAGTCGTCTTGAGCATGAGGAATTCTTAGCAATGTCTGAACTTCGATGCCTCCCTGAATTCTTCCCCTCCCATGCTGAAAAAAAGGCATCAATATATGAACATTTAGTAATATCAGGGTAGTATTCGCTCTTAGCATTTAGACAGCCAACCAGCGATATTGAATTATATGCCACCAGGAAGAGCAACTTCTGGTGCAAAAATCAGTGACTTGCATTTTATTTTTTTTCCTGTTATTATAGGGTCCTAGCTCCACAGATATCAAGATCATCAGCAGAGTGTAACAGCAGAAGTAACCACATTTGTATATACCTGGTCACCTGGTTCAACCCAGTCACCACTGCATAAAAAGTCATGTAACTCATCAGGCACGCTTCTTCCAGGAAAGTATTCAAATCTTTAAGGCCACTACTGAAAATCTGCTATTGTCACTGTTCTCTCCATTACGTGAAGATCTGGGAGAACCAGATGTTCCCTCCTTAACTGCATATACTAATTGTTACCTCAATCTTTTTAATCAACTAAATCAGGTGTTTCTAGTAATTGATAACAAAAGATCATTTTAAATACTGAATTGCATACAAGTATTCTGATAACTGAGCTGGTAAAACAAATACGCCAATCAAGTTATCAGCTGGATGTGCAAATGGGACAGAACTATACTTGTCCTGCCCCAGCATTAAACTTCCATTTGCCTAAAAATGTACAGATGATATTCTGTAGATTAAGTTATTCCATTATGTAATTATGAACTCTGAATGTGGACTAGCACATGATCTACTGCTACTGTACAGCACTTTAAGATTATAAAGTCTTAGAGTCACGCAGTACTAAAATCAAAAGCCTTAGAAGTGCATGCATTTACTTTGATCAACCTTGTCTTAACAAGGCCCATTTTTGTCATTCTTGGAGAATGAGTTTTGCTAAACCAAGTTTTACGCTGTTGTATGATTAAAGGAGATAACACCTGTGAAATCTTCATTTTCCCCCTTCTCCGCCTAAGCTTTGCCTGGAACTGACATTAGGATAATTAGCATAGTTGAAGAGTAGACATTTCTGGTTAATAAGACAGCTTAAGTGCTGCATCTCCTATAATCACTCGAAGAAAATTAAAAACAAAAAACCCCCACCAAACCCAACACCTCCTCCCCCCACCCCCACCAAAACCCAGCAAGCCAGCTCTCCTTTCTGACAGGTCTTCCACAACTGGATTTATCCTGCGGAAAATAGAGTTGCTTACCTCCCTAAGGGCTGCCGAACTATTTTCTAAGAATATCAGAACTCAGACTTTTCTTTTCCTATTTAAGCAATAGTTGCTCTAGATGAAACAAAACCAGGCAAGGTAGAGCCAACCTAATCTTGAGAAAGAGCCTTCTTTTTTGTATATTGTTTTAGAGACATGGCCTTTCCTCCCCCTCCCCCCCCCTCCCCCCCCCCCCCCCCCCACCCCTCGTTTCAAGGAAATCTGATTCTTTTGTAAGCCTTCAATGGCAGGTGACAGGAAACAAGTTATGCAATTCAGTATTCACTCTAAGAATAAAGGATCCTTCCTGCATAGGCAACCTTCATGCTTATGTGTCCTTATTTCAAGTGCTCAATGCCAATTTATTCTTCATCTCTTCAGGTGTTTTTTAGGCTTTTTTTTGTGGTGGGCAAAGAATATTCATTATAATCATCTGATTAATTTACACTGTTCCCACAGCCTTCATTCCAGGCAAAACATTTCCTTCATGAGACTCCTGTTCTAATCTGCAGCTCACCCCTTTTTTTTTTTTAGGATAGAACATACCACTGCCAGTTTTGTAATGTTTTAGCTTATCTACTTTGTGCTTTAAGCACAAGACTTTAGGAACAGGAAGGAAGCAATCAGAAAAGCAGAACAAAGTAAACAATTTCCCTAACAATCTACATGTCTACAAGTAGCAAAGACCAAGTGTTTCTAACACCACAATTGTGGGACTAAAAGATTTAAGCTAATTCAGTTAGATTTGGACATTTAGTCTACTTTTACTAAACAAAATTAGAATTTGTTTCCTTGTGGGTTACTTACGTTATCAAGGGCTAACAATCAGTGCCAAGGTTTGGTGCCACAAACAGTGTGTTCAAGAAAACACTTAAAAAGAGAGCAGGTGCCTGTGGAAGGACCAGTGTTTCACGCTCTGTAGCAGAACAGTTTGTGGTCAACACACAAAATTACTTTTGGATGAAAGAAGTGTCACATAAGGAGACTTTTTTTAATAGCTTCAGTTGTATGCATGCTCATTTCTTTGTCTAACCTTTTACCCCAAAGCACAAAGGCAGCTCTTGAGTCACAACACAGGATTGCTGCAATTCTCAGAACCATTTTATTGGGACATAAGAAGGGCTCTACATGTTACCCACTACCAGGTCTGTAATCTTGCACATAGTATCAGCAAGACATCAGAGATATGGAAACACTAAGGCATATGAATGCATCTTCTTTATAGAAGATTAAGGCACAGTAAAACAGACCTGTAACTCAAGGCAACAGAAACTATGAGAAAGTTGTCTTATTTTAGCTGTACAGAAGTAAAAAGGACTGCAAAGCCTTACCTAAACTCATCTTGCTGTTCTGCTAGTTGATCCATCAAAATCTGAAGTCGATCCCATCTCATCCGACTGCACTCTTTATGGAAGTCAAACGCTATGTATCTGTTCAGAGAGAGAAGCATCTTTTCAGATTACACATGTACTGCAGTGAAGGTCTCAGAAAACCCCACAGGGAAGGGCTGATCTCTAAAACAAGTAGTGACAGAGGATTTGTTTTTCTTTAGAGATGGCTTCCAATAAGTATCTGTGGATTCTGCCAGTCCTCTTCCCAAGTCTGCATCCTTAGTGCATGCACTGCACTCTTGGTGTGCGTAGTGACAGCATTTACATTTCTTTACAAGATGCCACCAGTCCAGGGAAGCACACATTCAGTTTCGAGTTACTCATTCTACATTCTGGCTAGTATTTCTCCCTCAGAAAGCACAGCAGGAATATGCATCTCATTTCATCTCTTTTCCCCACTAAGGATTCTTCTGCCCTCCTCTCTTCCAAGCAACTGCATTGGGAACTTCAGTTCCCTTTGAAAGAGACACAGGTGCCAAAATGCAACATTTTTTGCTGGCATGCAACATAATTCCCTCAATAGCTCTCTAGAAACTTGAGACAGGTTCTGTTTAAACAGCTAACCTACTCTGTCAAAAGACAATTAAACAGCTATGGACGTGGAACAAGATTTTAACAGCCAATTCATTTCTGGTAAGAAGTGCTCTAGATGAGTGGTGTTTGATTCAACATTTATATATATATACACACACGTTTGCTGTGAGTTATAGGGCATTACATTTCTCCTCTCAAGTATTCATAATCTGTAAGTTATTATTTGCCAAGTTTTCAAGACTATTTGCATGAAGAAAGATGGTACATATACACACACCGAAGACTCAAGTCGTGGTCTAGCAGGCAAGCACCATCAAAACCAATTAACAAAGAAAAATTGTTTTGGCAGCATTAAGAAAATGGGGCTGACAAACACCACTTTTTAACATATACAGAACAAGCAGCATATCTAAAACACCCTGACAGAGTTTTACATCTTGTTTTTTACCATATGACTTTATAGCAGAGATGCACAGAATTCCACAAGCTTTGTACAGCTCAGGTATCAATACTGGCTTAGGTGTGAGAGTGAAAGAAGAGCTTACCTTAGAAGTGCTCTTTAACAAAAACAAAAGAAAAATCCACACCCACACACCAGTAACACACACAAAAGCGCCCTTGAGGGTAGTAAAAGAAGCACGCAGTAGTGCAAGAGACATCTATATGCTAGTGAGGCAGCAGTGGGGCATCACAGAAGCAGAAAAAAGCTTGAAAAAATTCAAAGTATGTCAGAATTTATAAGGGCATCTTGATTATACTCTGCAATTCCTTAATTATTTTTAGACAGAAGTGAATCCCTATTAAAACAGGATGCCTTTCTGCTTAGAGGTAGGATTTTGTCCTTTGACATACATGAGTGGCAATACTACTACAGCAATTTCAAGGAAAAGATAGATGTAAGTATCTGTGGGAGTTGGATGTTAGCCTGCCCTTTAGAAGTTAGTGAAAGCAAGCACAGGCAGGTTGTGAAATTGTGTACTGTGTTCAAGATTCCCACAAAGAGATGGAATTTCTCTTGTGATCAAAGCAGATTCTCCACTCTTGGCTCATTGTTACACCGAGGTCCAGACATTTAAATTATATGTTCCCCTTACTGTTTCCTCCTTTATCTCAATACCATTTGCTCATGCTCAGCAATGCCTTACTAAATTACCTATGTAACCAAGCCTTTTTGCCAGAAGCTAGTTCTACAGGGCATGATTTCTTTTTCCTAAAATGCAGAAGACCTCTGCAGTTCTCATAGCATACTATTACTCCAATACCGGCATTACCACTGCCTCTGAGCTCCTGTCTCTATTCTGTCTTGTTTCCTCTTTGTCCCATATTCACTTCAGTCTCACTTCTGCTTAGAAGGCAAGCTCTTAAGTAAAGGCATTAGTCATATGCAAGTTACTTCATAAAAATAAAACTCAAACAAGTCAGACAGTTGGTAAAGGCCCCCAAAGAGCTGATCACACTGTGGTTCCTGGAGGCAGTGCTCAACTTTTAACACAGAATGTATCATTTCACTTCACATGTACCTGACCATTCCATTTGCCATGCTGTTTACCATTTTCGCAAATGTTTGCTCAAGAGGCTTCTCTGAACCTTTTTGGTTAACCTGGGAGAAAGGAGAGGAGAAAAGAGACAGTATTACTGAAAAGCCTGCTTAAAAGAACATCAGCTTTTTCAGGAAGAACAAGTGAAAGCATACCAAGTTGACAATCATTTGCTTTCCATAGCTAATTATTTGCGAGTCAAAATGTCTTTGGAAGCCATCCATCTAGAAGAGAAAGGAAATGTGTTGACAGATGTATGCTACTATTAAGATCTGTGATTTACAAGACATCTCTGTAATAATCTTTTTAATGATACCGCATAGGTAGTTTTATAACTAAGTGCTTGATGTTCTCTATTGTGCTAATACATTTCTATTTCCATCCCCCCAGTCCACTCAGCCCTCCTTATTAAACATGCCACAGACAACGAGTATTGTGCAGCTACTAAAACTGTCACAAACAAGAACCAAAGAGAAACTACCCCCATTGATGTCTGGATTTTTCTCAGGCACTGAACTCATCTTAGTGAGTACGAGGCTTCTTGCTACTACTTCTTAAACATAAAGCTCAATCCAGTATTACTGATTTTTATTTTTCTGATTACAGTCTGTTACCGTATCACACAAACATGAGCCCATAGATATATTAAAACCCCAAGACACAACAAACACTCACATACATGATTTACTGACTTGCTGATCTGTGGCTTTGGTTTGTATTTGAGGTTTGGTCTTTGAGACCAGAAAAATGGAATTGATCCACGGGTCTGCAAAGCAATAGAAATTATTTTAAACAACAAAACTTACAAACTCAATTGCCATTTAAAAATAAAGCAGGCTGGTTTAGTTTGTTTGTGTGCATGCACATCTTCTATATAACCTATATTTAGAAACACAGACAGAGCTGTCTATATACCTTAAGCCAGTGAGCAGTTCTTTACACTGACTTTACCTGAACAAATGATGCTTTGCTCCCCTTGTAATGCACAATTTGTTCTGTTTCAACAAAGTTCGCCGCATGTCCTTCTGAATCAATACCTAGGTAGAAGAAAGACCTCGTTAACCAGCTCAGACTAGCTGCAGAACAGTGACAGTGTATCAGGAAAAGGCTCCTTCACCCTTCCCTTTTAAGCACTCACAGAAAGCATGAAAATACCAGAGCTGCCAGAAGAGGGTAAATTAAGCACACCTTTGGCAAAAGTTTAAAATGATCTGTACTAAATTTCACTTGAAGAAGCACGGTTGTGCTTAACACATTTTGATAATTATAGTCCTAGAAATTGAGTAGTTTAATACAAAGTAAAATACAAGTACTTTGACACCAAAATATTCACAGTTCAATAGCAACAGTACTACAGAAACTGACCAACTTCTTCAAAAGCATGTATGCTGGGAAAAAGAACAGAGAAAGTAATTTAAATGCATTTGCTTGTTCACCTTTTTAACTTGAAACAACTGGAGAACACCACTATTCAGGGCTCCCCAGCACCAATCATGCTCTTAGTTGAATTTACTGCTAGGCCAAAAGGGCTATTACACACTTGCATTTAACTCCAATAAAACCAGTGAAGTGTTAAAAACCCCTACAAAACTTTTGCAGTTATCTCTAGGATGAATAAAGCAAAGTCAGTTTTAATAATTACCAGAACATGCTTCAGTTCATCTTATAGGTTCCTAATACTTTCTTTGGAGCAAAGACCTCTTGAGACAAACTATTATAAGTACTTTTTTGTTCAAGTCATTATATAGCAATTACTCTTAAAGGTAAGTCACATGTATAGATGGAATTTGCATTATTTTAAAATAAATAGATTTTCTATTTTACCTCTTACATAGTAGCGTACACCAGCCCTGAAACAGCTTCTTCTGGAAACAAGCAGCCAGTCAAAACACTTGCCATTAATAGAACAAGAGTGCATAGTGATAACTAATGAGTAACATTAAGGAAAACCACCCAAAATTTCATTAGGATATTTTTATATATCAAGAGGTAGGAAACATCAAGGAATCGAGCAATCACATTCAAAGACACTTGTAAACACTTCTCACACAAATAACACTTGAACATTAAACTTGAGGGAGAGTAAGTTAATGTTAGGATCAGTACACGCATGACAAAAGGGCAGGCTATAGGTGATGTCACTGATGAACACATATTAAACTGCTATAATTTTGAGAAAATGGGATTCTAAAGAAGGTCTTATGGTCCTACGCATATCATTAAATGGACTGACTTCTGAAGTTCTATTCAGCACTACATCCATCTCATGCATAATTTTATTAAACTATCTTAACAGTTTCTTGCCCCTATTGCTTTTAACAAAAAAAAAAAAAGATATCACTACAAGTCTTTTTTCCTAAGCTTTCAGAAGAGCGAATACCTTGGGCTGTTGTACCTTGCACCGGTAAATGCAACATACATCACATTTACAGGTGCCAGAACTAGCAGTAAGGCAGACTGGCTTTCAAATCCACACCAAGAAAAAGAATGAACACATACCAATTCTTCAGTGGGAGCTTCTTACATAAGAATACTTTCGTGCTCAGGCTGGATATCCAAAGCAGCAGCTACACCATAATCTGGGACTAATCAACAAACGGGGCCATTGACAACTAGTTTCAGTTTTAGAGTCTTGTTCTATGCTGCCTATAATTGCCTTTATTAGGACAACAGTAAACTATCAAGTCTAATAGAGACCAGCATTCACCATGAAAAACTTCTCCAGGTAGATTCACAGGTTTTTATCCTTTGCCCCTAAAATCTGAAACCTGCAATGTTAAAGCAAGCAAAAGATCAAAATGGTCAATTTTTGCAAGGTGGAGTGTTAGCATACTGCAGTCTTCTATTCTTTGAGGAGTCTAGATACTTTGTCTTAAGGTTGGTAAAACAAACAAGATGTATTTTCTTTTTTTCAAGTAGCACATTTTACAGTGATTCTGCATTTATGATTCAGATGGGACAAAAAGCGGCTGTGTCACATGTGAGTACCTAGGCTACGTTAAAGACCACACTGACTGCACACACAGAACATCTTGATTTATGTGTGCATTTGTGCTAATACTGTTTGCTAAAAATTTTAAAATATAATACAAATTGGCCCTACATAATCCAGAACATTCTCCTAATTTAGACTGTGAAAAAGACATATTCCTCCACTTTCCTGGAAAATTACTGCCAGGTCCCACATCCTTTAATCCAACACTTGTACAGCCAACAGTTTCCTGCAAAGAAAGGTTACCTCTAAACTTAGCTGCTTAGCAATAATTGCCCATTTTCTGTCTACAATCTCTGTCCCAACTTAAATGGCAACTCACTATTGGCTACTTTACACACACAAAAAAGGGAAGAGACATAATTAAAAAAAAAAGCTGAAGAATAAGTAAAGGGAAATATTAAGCATAGCTTAGGCTTTAGATAATCAAAGTCTCAATTACCCAAGTCAGTCAGTTACTTCTTATCACTGTAAGCCCAGTCCAGATAGTTGAACAAAATATTTAGATTTATATGGGGGAAAAAAATAAAATCTGATTTTATTGAAATAACTGGTAGTGGTGCTGTAACAGTTCTGCTTAGGGCTCTTCCTAGCATTTTCATCACTAAAAATCCAGTTTCTTTGAATTCTTGTGTTCTCTAGGGTGTTTTGTTAGTATTAGAATTACAGCAAAATATACATTACTTATGCTAGTTATTTATACAGTGAAAATAGGACAGAGGAAGGTGTTAACTGCAGTCTGCCAACTGCTAATTGCAATCCACCCAGACTCTTCCACCCAGGACCTGCAGGACAAGGATTGGGTTGTTCTGACAGTTCCCTTTATCTTTCCTTGCCTCTCCACCTACTCCCGTAATATTTTCCATTAAATGTAGTCACAGGAAAGAAGGGACTGGAGATCTGCCAGCTGCTAACGGTCCCAACAGAACAACTGATCCAGCCTGGACGCTGTTCCCTGCACACACTTGAGGGGCCTGCGCAATGAAGGAGGAGAACGCACATGAGTTGCTCTGTCCAGCCTTGCCAGTCCTTTTCATGCTGTCAGCCAGGAGCACCTGGGACTTACTGTTGATCACACACTGCATGAGGAACACTGCTTCCTGAAAGCATTAGGCTTACTCAGAGCACACACCCCTTCTCAAAAATAAACTCGTGACTGCTTTGCTAAAAAGGCTGCTACCCAAACCATTGGTGCAGGAAAAGCAGCTGGCTCCGAGAAGAGTTCCAGGATCCTTCAGCAGAACTCCCTATCCTTTCATTCATCAGTGGGAACATCCATAAGCATTCCTTCAAATCAAAACTGTTCTCCTTTATTTTAAATCCAAAGTAAATGCTGAGTGAAGGTATCCTTATAGCAAGATAAAAAGTACTAAGGCTGTTATGAGAGCATTTGCCATATTCATATTAACCTTCAACCCCACTGAAAGACAATTATGCAAATCATGCCTGTAAATTTAAATACATTAAGCCTTAAAAGCAGAATATTCAAGTGAGTTAACGTACGAGTGAGCTATCAAACAGTATGCAATGCTCCTATCTGAAAAAACTACAACTTAATTCTGACACTGTGTTCTATGTTATAGTTGCCAACATAGCCAGTAGAGCAAAATGGTTGCTGATGCAGCTGCTACTCCCGTAATATTTTCCATTAAATGTAGTCACAGGAAAGAAGGACTGGAGATCTGCCAGCTGCTAACGGTCCCAACAGAACAACTGATCCAGCCTGGACGCTGTTCCCTGCACACACTTGAGGGGCCTGCGCAATGAAGGAGGAGAACGCACGTGAGTTGCTCTGTCCAGCCTTGCCAGTCCTTTTCATGCTGTCAGCCAGGAGCACCTGGGACTTACTGTTGATCACACACTGCATGAGGAACACTGCTTCCTGAAAGCATTAGGCTTACTCAGAGCACACACCCCTTCTCAAAAATAAACTCGTGACTGCTTTGCTAAAAAGGCTGCTACCCAAACCATTGGTGCAGGAAAAGCAGCTGGCTAGGAGAAGCGTTCCAGAATCCTTCAGCAGAACTCCCTATCCTTTCATTCATCAGTGGGAACATCCATAAGCATTCCTTCAAATCAAAACTGTTCTCCTTTATTTTAAATCCAAAGTAAATGCTGAGTGAAGGTATCCTTATAGCAAGATAAAAAGTACTAAGGCTGTTATGAGAGCATTTGCCATATTCATATTAACCTTCAACCCCACTGAAAGACAATTATGCAAATCATGCCTGTAAATTTAAATACATTAAGCCTTAAAAGCAGAATATTCAAGTGAGTTAACGTACGAGTGAGCTATCAAACAGTATGCAATGCTCCTATCTGAAAAAACTACAACTTAATTCTGACACTGTGTTCTATGTTATAGTTGCCAACATAGCCAGTAGAGCAAAATGGTTGCTGATGCAGCTGCTGTTAGCCAGCACTGAGCTCTACAACATAAAAGGATACATCCGTGCATCACAGGCGTAGCAAACCTGTGGATCTGAAACGCACACAATACATGTTAAAAATATTAAACACTAGCAGCCAAAGTGACTATGTCCAAGAGGTTTTTTTTAATTTTATGAATAAAACCTAAAGGATATAAAGTATAAGGTGCGATAATTCTTTCTGAAAAAAGTGAAAGTCTAATACTAATTAGGTGACTGACAAAAAACCCCAAGCTTGTTCTATATATGGCCTTTACTCTTCTACAAACATGCCAGATATAAAGCAGTACACACTGAAAACCTTTTGGTACAGTATTTGCTATACCTCCACAGTAGGATGTAAGCAGAGATACTAGTATACAACACAGGGCTTCAGTAAGAAATACATTTATGTGATTAATACTTGAAATTGTTCCAGGGTTTTTCCCATCCTGCCACTCCTGAATAACTTGGTCTTTCAAAAATATTTAAAATTAAAATTTGCCAATAGTAGAAGTCAGAGATACCACATCTCATTACCCAAAACTGTTACTATAGCAAGCCACCTGTAGTCAATATTAGGTCACGCTTCTCCTCACATATCAGTTATCTCACTCTTCAACTTTTGTGTTTTGCCTACATTTGTTTTCACCAGCCACACTTGGCTTGCTTTGCTGCTCCCACCACAGGTTCTCTCTCATTTCCCAAGCTTTGTTTGCTTAGCACTATCCAAACCATACACCCAGTCATATGCCTCCAGAACATGCATAACAGCCCTTTTCTAATTCCTATCTTCACATTCCAGAAGCGCTGCACAAACCAGCCTTTTGGAACAGTGCTGTCTAATGTAAGAGCACATCTCCACAGGTTACCAAGACAGAAATAGCAGCAGTGCGTCATCCACTTCAATAAATGAGAAGTACTGCTAGAGAGAAAAGGTTGCTGTAGTGCAGACAATTTGGGAAGTTTAACGCATATCTGAAGTCTCTATTAAGAAGGAGCTTAGATCAATCTGGCCACTGAGGTACTACAGTTGTGGCTCATAGTCGTACACTTGTATTTGCTGGACTAAGTGAGTATGAAGGTTACACTGTGCTAGTCTTCATGTGAAAAACTGCAAGAATCTAAACTGTCAGTCTTACTCTTAATTACAAGCTTTATGACCTATTCACTAAACAAATGGAGTTTAAACTGCACTCATGGAGAAGGACGCTGCTAGGAAAAAAGCAATGAGCTGAACCTTGCCTAAACCTAAAGATAAATAAGTAGCACATGCTGTGCAGCACAACTTCCCCTTTGGTTTATATCAGCATGGTCTTCACAAAGTATCTTCAAATGCAGACATTTCCAAGAGTCAGCTTTACTATACGTACTGCTGAGGACATCGACATGAAGTTGCAAGTTTGAAAGCAGAGGACTGTCACTGTGCTAAACTAGAAAATGAATAGCCACATTATACTAAATTCTGGCTGTCTGAAATAAGGAACAGAATTACAGGAAACTGTTGTACACTTACAGTAAAAGTATATTTGTCCTCTACTAATATAATCATTATGAAGTGTTTACCTCTGGTTGAGCAGCAAATTCTCTAAGAAGATGTCCATTCCAAACAAACCGTGGATCTGCCTGCAGCAAGAAAAAAGCCAATGTGCTTTTTAGAGACTGTCAGTTCTGTTTAACTCAACATAAGGGAAATATCATAGTATCCATGCATTACAAAAGTTTAGGTGAACAGATGTACACAGAGATTGAATGTTCTTCCTTCATCAGTACCATTCATAACCTCAACTAGAAATCTAAATAAAATAAAAATAGTTAAAAGAAGAATAGTTCTCTCCAATCTTTAAGGGTGTTGCCTGACACTTCAGGCATACTGAACCATTAACAACTGAGCTGCAGCATCAGAAAAACTTTGCCCTAAGTAAACAGGGCTTGAAGAGGTTATCCAAAATTTTATTAGAACAGTAGCATGGTAACACTCCTAAAATGGGCAGAAGTTCAAAATGCAAAGATTCCTGTACGCAATAATCAACATTTCTGAGAATTGAATGTTGAACAATAAATACTTGCAGCTTAAAAGACAAAAGTATTTGTATTCCACTGCATAAATGATCCTCTTCAACTTTAGTATTTCCTATTCCTAATTCACCTCAAAAGTGTCTTGAGCAGGTTGCTGAGTACATTCCAGAAAGCTACTAGATTAGTCACAAAAGTCACATTCACTGCAGAATGTAGTGCAGGTTTCAGGGACGTAGCATAAATATCAGCTTTAAGATGAGGCAGGCAGACAATACAGCACTGAGGATGAGTGTTAGTTCAAGCTCACTGTTGGAACAGTCCTTTGTCTAACAGAAAACAATAAATACAATTATGTGCCAGAAACTGATCAAATCCTACTTGTAGTGCCTTGAACTAATGAAAGAACATGACATGATGCCTCGGTGCCCCTGTATTGGGGCTGTTTCCTTCTACCAGTACTGTTTAAAAAACCCACTAGCAAAACACGTAGCAAAACAAAACACCCACCCAAACAGGCCAGGCTTCTCTTGTAGATGTGAACTGGAAATGCCCAGAATTGCCACCAACCTTTCATTAAGCCATTCTACTGCAACCACAAGTGTGAAATTACATTCAAATTGGTTTAATCGTCTAACATGCTTAGACAGTTTCAATAACTAAGAGACAACATCTCATGACTCTACTGCCACCTCTTCAGCAAAGGAGGAAAAAGTGCTATTGACTTCCAAAGTTTCAGTACTTCAGTGCCTAGGCAGTTTGTTTACACTGCAGTATATAAGTTACCAGACTAAGGATTCTGGAACTCTGGAAGCAGACAAGAATTTCAAGGTCAAATTGCATTTGTGTGACTGTTATCTTTAAGAAAAAAGCAGCATATTAAATTCCTAACTGCCCCAGTACAACTCAACTGGGGAGATAATCCAGGTACACAATTTAGCAACATAGTGCTGTTTTTGCTAGTACTATTATAAGTATCTGCATCTAAGCAACATGTATATCTGTTTCACTAGTTTAAATTAATGATTAAAATAGTACAGCCATTTTTAGTTTAACAGAAGACCATAAATGCTTTAACAGTATCTGCTACCATTTAGCATATTAATTCACTGTAAAAAAAAAAAGGTTTGATCTCAAGTGTAATGGAATCACTGATTTCAGCAACACCATCCTAAGCGTTATGTAGTTTCCTTTAGTTTGTGATAGTTTGTTTTGACATAATTTCAACACCAGCTGCATAAACTAAGCATAAGCCATGCAGAACTGATTGGCAATGTCTGACACAGATGGTAAGTAAATGAAATCCTTACCCTCTCTAGGAGGCTCATTTCCTGGAACTCTGGGCTCGTGTTGGCTAACCGTTGCAGAGTGTGTGTTAGGTCGTATGTTGTTGAGAAGTAAAATCCATCCACACTCAAGACATGACTAAGCATTGATAAAAATACTTTATTGTCCTGCAACTGCAGAGGAGGAAAAAAAAAGACAGAAGAGGTCTCATTTATTACCATCAAATTATCTTGTTCTTAAGCTACCACTACTTTTTGAAGTGATGAATGAACTTTGCTAGTGCTCTAGCAACCCATGACATCATCCAGAGATTACCATACAAGAAGGAAACCGTGAAATTGCAGTTTTGATACCAGTTCACTGATAAATCACAGCTAGCACACCACAACCAAATTCTGCTAGAACAGTGGAGAGCAGAGAACAGTATTCCTGTGAGGTAAATAGCTACTGATATAAAACTAATATTAGTGACTTCCAAGCAAAAAGGAAGCCATTAGTTTCCCAGAAAACCATTCAGTCAAAAAAATGAGACAAGATGGCAATGCAAAAGAAAGCATATAACTTACTGTCAAGATTACCCCAGTAAGTAATCTGTGTTCTGGTTCAAGTTTTGACTAACCTCACTCCTTTCCTGAAAGTGCATCAGATTCCCTTTCAGCTCCATTGGTTAGACACCCTTATCTACTCTTTATCAATCCACAACATACCTGTTTTAAAAAAATCTTCATCCTTTCCTTCCCCCTTCTCAAAAAGAAAAAGAAATTCTTCCCTGCTGGGAAATTGTGTAATTGAACAATTCCATAACTTAACCAAGACAGATGACAGCACAGCATTTTTATTGTAGGGGCTATCAGAAGAGTAAAGCTGTAAGATGCAACAGGAAGAGCATTGTGATTTTGTGGACTGGTTCAGAGAGCCTGCTTTGTAACAGGCTGCATGTGTGTGACCTATTACAAAGCAGCACTTCCCTCAGAAGGGAAAAGATGATACAGGATTTAAGTACAAGAACAGAGATGCAGCAAGACAGTCCACCTCATCCTCCCATACTGTACCACCTTAAAGGGGGGAAAATGCACAATATGCAGATCAAACTCTGGGGATGATATTCCAAGTTGCACAATGTGAGTTTGTTATCTTGAATGTCATAACTTTATATATAACTATACCCAAATATTACATCAATTATAGCAGCCTAAACGAATCGGAGAAAAAAGTATAGTTCAAAGAGCTTTTAAAAAAAATTTTCATAGTTTCATCAAATTAGGTCCTGTGGTAACAGATGTTAACATAAGGTAAGATTCCCCCACACTCCTCTAATCAATCCACCTACCTGAATATCAGTTAAGTGCAGCATGGTCTTTTTGTAGGAAAGGATGTCAAAGTCTGTTGCTTTCCAGATTGCATGACTGAAAATCTCACCTACTTTTTTCTTTTTTGTTATTACAATGAGATACGTTCCTGTAAATCAGAAAGGCTAAAGTTTAAAAAAAACCAAACAGACATACATACACTAAGAAATGCAGCCTATAACTATATCAGAAAAGTGAAACCAATAGGAATGAGTGAGGTTTCTTCAGATTACACCTAGGACTTTATGATTTTAAACAGTAAGGGGCTGGAACAGAAACAAAACACACTTGCCAAGCTACCTACTTCTCTATGCTCACAGATCTTGAGCTACTCATTAAGGAATTAAAAAAATGGACAAGATGAAAGAAAGCATCAGCTACTCTTACTTCAGACCAGAGACAGTCTGAAAGTCTTCAGGCTTGCAAATGCAGAGAGGGGCCAATGGTCTTGAGTGTGGTTTGGAAAGCACAGAGCAAGTCAGAAGTACACGAAAGGAAGCATGCTTCAGAATCCAAAAAGCCTATTCAACTTACCCTGAAAGAAATATTTATACTAATAGGTTCAAAATAGAGCAAAGAGAAGCAGGTTTCTTTTAATAATTTAAGAGAGGAAGTTTGTTATTTATTGTAACCAGGAAAATAGCAAAGCCAAAAAACATAATCATGACAGTTCACTCCAACCAATTACTTTACACTTGATGGTAAACACAACAAGCTGTCAGTTAACCCTACCTTTAGAGCAGCTACATGTTTAAGTACATGAACATTCCTGATAAAATATATTTTGATACCTCCATCCTCTAGCAGCCACAAGGAAAGCCCATCATACTGATGAAAGTATAACCTCAGATACTTGCAAATACTATTTTTGTCCTTGAAGCTTCTTTAGCAATATATTTTCCTTAAATATTTTTTAAAGAGCACAGTTCCGTTTTCCTTACCTGCCACCAATCGGATTGTTCCCAAAATACCATATATAGGCCTTGTAACGGCTGAAGGGGGAACATCTTTCTTAACTGAAAAGCAAAAGAAAAAACCCAGAATTTCAGACTGCTTTTTTCATGACTGTATCCTTTCTGATACTTTTAAACTAGGTTTGTCAAAGCTAGGTTGGTCAAATCCCAAGTTCTGCTGGAGTCTTAAGTATAAGCAGCAATGCATCAGAATTTTAAAGCCTGATGCGGTGCCGGGGGGGAAGAACGTGGAAGTATTCTAACCCAACTTCTTATGTTGTTTAATCAAAATAGTCATTCAATTGAATAGATTCAAGCTCATTTACATAATAGTATAGCAAGTAGACGCCTCAATAATATATTGTACTGCCAGCTTCCAGAAACTTTTTTTTGAAGCCATCAAGACATCAAGGACAAACAAACCATAAATGCTTGTGCCTCAGTCTTCTGAGTCTCAGCCTATTTCCATTTCAGAAGACCTAGTTCACTTTTTGCTCTATCTCTGCAAAGCTATCAACAACAGCATAGATGTGGCAATGGATACAGTATTCCAAACAACATACCAAGAGATCCAAAAGGTATCCAAATATCAATTAGAAGTCCTAGCATGTTAAACTTTCATCTATACGCATTTCTGGAATAGCACAAGGGATATTAGAGAAGTTTAAAAAAAACCCAAAAACCAAACTCTAGAACACCCACACCAGAGTTAAGCATTTTCCCAGAGCTTGGAGACAAGAGCAAAATCACTGTGGATTTTTCCTTTGCTTTAAACACCTTGCATGTTCATCTGATAAAACACCAATAATGAGAACATATGAAGACTAATAAAAGACTTGGGACAGCTATCTTCACAGTTTTGAGGGAACAACTTTAAAGGAGAAATAGAAATATTATACTACACCACCAAAATTATCAGTGGGATGGGCACATTGCTTTTACCTGAGGTATACAAGAGACCTAATAAAAGGAAGAAAATGACTGCTTTTATATTAGTATTACCGTAGCATTTCTGTCTGTATAGAGGTTAGTAATACTGAAGTCTCAAAAGGGAAGCCACCCATTGCCTTCATTTCATGTTTCATTTAATGCAAGTTCTTTGATTGTTCTTATGCATTAGTTTCGCATACTTAAAAAAACTGAAGTAAGTTTAAGACCTTGATATCAGTATGCTTAAGACTACTTGCACTGACATTTGAATCCAGATTTGCAACAGAACTAGATTTACAGTGAGGGTTTTTTATTGTTCCCGTTTCTAGAGGGTTTGTGAAAATTCAGGTTTCAGTATTAAATAGAAGAGTGCAGAGACAATTCAGCAAAAGCTGCAGAAGTCTTCAACACTTCCCATATTTAATCTTGGACTTGTAGCACCAATCCCCCAGCTAGGTTGGAGGAGACAGTTTTTATTGTTGTGACGCACAATCTTACCAAAACCAAGCAAGCACTATCACCCTGGTTACCCTCAGCATCAATCCCACAGCGAGAAGGCATTTCAAACAAAGTTCTTTGCAGGACAGAATACAAAGCACTATCTTAAAACAGTAACTAAAGACCAAAACAATTCTCCCAGTATCAGTTTAAGGTTCTGAAGATCTTCTGGGAGTGCTCAGAACAAAATTATAGACACAAGAGGCCTATATTGAGAAATACTGGTGAGGAGAATACCTGTAAGAGTGACTTCCGTGGAGACTCTATCAATAGCAAGCACATCATCCGCTCCATCATCACAAGCTTCCACATAGAATTTCTCTGGTGTTATATGCCTTTAACAGAATGAACAGGAAAAAGAAATTTGTTTATCAACACTTACATTGGGTTTGTTTATTTATATTTAAGCTCTTCAGCAGGTGAAGATAGAGCAATCTTAAACCTTACTTCAGCTGCAAAACCAAGTTCTCACTGGATTACTTCCCAATAGCCACTGATGTTGACAGTGTATAAGAAGTAAATCAAACTAATCAGTTACTACAAAATACATTGCTTATTTAATAATCTTAATGCTTATTTAATACTGAAAGTTAAAGACATGAAAGTGAATTTGTGTACATAGTGCTCCACTATATAGTTCACATAAGCTCGAACTATGTCACTTAGAAGCCTGATAAGCCAAAACCAAACTTCAAAGCAAGAAGTTTTTTTTTAATGAAATGCTTTCTAGTATGTCAGGAACTAAGTCACCACATCCCTGATGCAAGTCTAGCAAATAAAAATAATGTCCAAAGGGATAAAACCACCTGTTTCACACTACAGTGTTCCATTTATTGTAAGGATCCATTAGAAACAATGCAGGAAAGACCCAGAAGAGTTAAAGTCATATGCTAGTTTATTGAAGCAGGTGTCTCAACATTACCATTCCCCAGATTTGGCTTGACAACACTAGGGGTCAGAGTTTTAAACATCTTGTTCTGGAAACTTATTTCTTCTACAGGAAAGAAATTTTTACGCTCCTTCCCTGTAAATAAATCTTGCATTTCTTCACATCTTTTGGTATTTTTTTAATCCTTCAGAAAGCTGGATTAGAATCCTAATTTAGATCAGAAGAGCCCTTTGAAAGAGGTCTAGAAGACCTCTTAACATGCCTAACACCCCACCTTCCGCCCACTAAAAGCTGTGCCAACTTCAAAGTTTATCCAACTTCAAAGTTAAACCTTCTTAGGGTATGTTTTGACTCTCCCCAAGGATGGCAATTCTACAGCCTCTCTGGGCATTTTAGAAGAAAGCCAAAGGAGACCAAATGCTTAATTGAACTGGAAAAAAAAAAAAAAAACCAAGCCAAAGAACACATAACACAATAAGAAACTGTATAGCAACAGTTAACTGTTTATCAGGTGATTTAACTTCTTTAAGGGGAAATTAGTCTACGGGTCCTAAAAGAGGAAACATCAACAGTATCGTAATCGTACATCAGCCGCCTTAATCTTTCATGGACACTTATAAAATGCTTTATCTTTGAAAAGAAAACCATCAGAGTAAGACATACAAACATGCAGTTCTTTGAACACTGAAGCCTTAATTGAAACCCTTAGTCTGCCTTCATTGCTTCTGTTTTTGATGAAGTACACATGGGCACCCCGGCTCTTTAAGGGGATTTCATAACAATAATGGGAGCTGGTTTTACGGTTGAAGAGCAAACAACCTTATGCAGACAGAACAGGCAAGACTAAGCTTAAGGACATTTATAAGCTCTCAAGTTGTTAAAGAATTGAAAAAGAAATCAGGATACACTATTGAAGGTACAGTCAGAAACCTATTGCTAGCTGGCAGGAAACAGTAGTAGACATTTTTTCCACAAGAGAAAGTGGTAGCCACTTAACTTCTGTTGGTGTAACCGAATAGTCAGCTTTTTCTGGGAGGTCAGTTGACACACAAGACTCCAGCTAAAAAAAACTGAGGAAAAGACACTGCAAAGTTTAATATTGGACCTGTTATGCCTTTAACACAGATGCTTATGCACTCTTACTCATCTGAATATCTTAAGCAAAATAAGTTCAAAAAATCTTTTAGCATAGCAGGGTGTAAAATAGTGTCCAAAAGCATTTCAGTTTTGAATACTTTTGAACACAACATAGACAGGACACCTACACTGACCATACAGAGCACAACTGAGCATTTCCATCCATGATCAGTATTTTTAAAAGCTGCTTTTTCCATTATAAAGTGCAACGTGGGAATGACCGTATTACAGTCTCAGCACTGAAATTCACTTGCATATTAGTTAAAGCTTGTTTTCAAACAACTGAGAAAAAGCTTACAGGTACAGAATACTTGTCATATAAACAAACTATCTATTTACTACACTCAATAATAATTTATCCCTGAAGAACATTAAATCCTTTACCCTCATCATCCACGAGTTAAGAAAAGTGAGAGAATTAAGGCTGCCAGTGCCAATTATGGCTGACCTCTCAATACATGCCACGTGCCCTGCTTTGCTAGACCAGCCCCCAGCATTTTTCTAAAATCCTAGCCCATATTTTGTCTCCTGCCACTACCACTCCCCTTTTAACAGTTTTCTTTTTTTAATCACCTTTATCCTCTCTTACACAATGCCTGTACATTTCTATCTTTGCTTAAACTACGTTTTACCCCCAACACACATAGAAAATAAAACTCTGCAATCAAAATCCTCCTTCCTACAGTCTTCTACAAGTCCAGATTTGGTGACAAAAGTGTCATGGAGAACACAAGACTAGTCATCCCTGTTTTCAGCTCAATGGACCAAACTGGCTCAGGCTTCAGCAGCTTGCAGCGCACTGGAACAGTCTTGGCATTGACTGTTCTGGAGCTTTGGTTGTTTCTATTTTGGAGGTCTTTGGGGGGAACGAGCAGGATGAAATCAGGTTGCCAGTCTATGAAGTTGAGAGAACTTAAATACCTCTCCCTGTTGGGATCACCACTAAAAACTGCCTGAAATACAACTGCACAACACCATAAACTGAAAAGCCCAATACCTTGCAAAATACTAAATCCTTACTTCAGAAGTAGTGCTCTTCAAAGTTTTTAACAGAAAGATTATTCACTTAGTCCTTGCTTCATTTGTGTAAACAGTCACAAGTTTTCCAAAACCAACATACTTGAAGAGGCCAAGACTCCCAACAGGTTTCAGCCCAAATGCAGATTTACAAACTTATCAGTTACCAGAACTGGGCTAGTAGACTCATTCTCGTTTAGATGACCTTTTCAGTCGTAGGACTGCTGTAACTAAGATGATTGCTTCCCACTTCTCTTTCAGGAAGGAAGCTGATGAACAGTGCATGCAAGAGTGGTGTTTTTCCACAGACTTGACTCAGTACAAAGTCTTTATGTCTATCACAAATTTAGAAAGATAACGCTGTGGTGGTTTGACCCTGGCTGGATGCCAGGGGCCCACCAAAGCCACTCTATCACTCCCCTCTTTAACCAGACAGAGGAGAGAAAAGTAAATCAAAGGGCTCATGGGTCAAGATAAGGACAGGGAGAGATCATTTTGTAAGTTACCATCACCGGCAAAACAGACTCAACTTGAAAAAAAAAACTAAGTTAATTTATTACCAATCAAAATCAGAGAAGGAGAGGAGAAAAACTGCTAAATCTTAAAACACCTTCCCCCCATCCCTCCCTTCTTCCTGGGCTCAACTTCACTCCCAGTTTCTCTACCTACTCCCCCCCAGCAACGCAGGGGGATGGGAATGGGGGTTGGGGTCAGTTCATCACACGTTGTCTCTGCCGCTTCTTCATCCTAGGGAGAGGACTCTTCCCCTGCTCATGCATGGGGTCCCTCTCACAGGAGACAGTCCTCCACGAACTTCTCCAACGTGAGTCCTTCCCAGGGGCTACAGTTCTTCACGAAGTGCTCCAGCATAGGTCCATAATTTCCATGGGGTGCAGTCCCTCAGGAGCAGACTGCTCCAGCGTTGGGTCCCCTGCAGGGTCACAAGTTCTGCTGGCAAACCTGCTTTGGCATGGGCTCCTCCCCCCACGGGTCTGCAATGGCTTGCCAGGAATCTGATCTGGCGCAGGCTTCCCACGGGGTCACAGCCTCCTCCCTTCAGGCATCCACCCGCTCCAGCGCAGGGTCCTCCACAGGCTACAGGTGGACATCTGCTCCACCATGGACCTCCATCAGCTGCCGGGGGACAGCCCGCCCCCC